GTTCGCCTAGCGAACAACGTCCATCATTGCCGCGTTGGCCAATCTAGTGGCCTCCTGATCGACTAACCTAGCCGCCTGCATCTCAGCCAATGCAGTCAGGATAGGATCGGGTTGATCCTCAGAAGTCTCTCGTGTTCTCCCAGACCTTACAATGACTCTGCACAAGTTACACAAATTATGAGTTGATCAGGCCCATGCAATGTTATTACGTATGCATTATTATAATAAAATTCGACGGAGTAAACACACAAGACAGACACAACCAAACATCCTAGCTATTGCAATACATACAGGATTTTTCCTTGAACCAGGCTCTGATACCATAAATGTAACACCCCGTATATATCCGGTAATGTTATCATACTATCGTATTAAGCTGCGCTTAGTTAAATATTTGCGGAATATCTTTTTCTTTTCAATTATGATGTTATTAATCATTACCAACTTGATTACTTAACCATTTTCAAACATCGCCTGTATGTACATTGCAATAAACAACTAACTGAAATGCCTCATTAATTAAATAACATAAAAATGTCTCTAGTCACGGAACTACCACACGTAGACCGGACCAACTAGCAGTTTATACACCTCAACTCAAAAGTACTAATTACATAGTGGCATGGACAACTCTCATGCTCACCCAAATAAGGCAACAAAGCCCACATCGTCTCAACCACAACAACATGATAAAAGTAAGCTAATACATCAAATTAGAAGATATAACCAGTATCCAACATGTCAGCATAAATAACAACAATATCATCAACTAAGCTCTGGCCTTCTGCCGCCAGAGACATCAGTCCCCAAATTACCTGAACCTGAAATAAGCGTTCCCTAAACGTGGGGTGAGATCTCTAAACAAGAAATCTCAGTAAGGCAAGGGGTCCTCAAGGATCTTCCACCCCAAGCTCACTTACATTTGCAATATAAGTTCAAAAGCAGTTCATCAATATCATTTCTAAAACAGTGCAATGCAGCAGATACTCATGTCATATGTGTCATACTTTTCTACTGGCCAGAGAAATGCAGGATTTATATACGTCTAATATCCACAAATAGTGCAAGACGCTACTTGCATCCACCCCGGATCACCGTCTTGTATGACGGCACATACTCAGGCTTACCGTCAAGATGGAACAACACATGCATATTAAAAGCCATTACACATAAAGCTCAACATCATTTCAAATATCCAAAGTATGTAACACAACATGCATATAACCATACCCCCATGGGACATGGTGGAACCACAACATGGCTAAACCGAGGACACGAAAGCTTACCTTGCAAGCTCACAATCCAATGGCAAGAGTCCACACAGCTCAACGTCCACAAACAGAACAATCACAATCTGCTTAGACCAATAATTATATCAATAAACACAGCTTATACGCATAAACATAAAGACTACGTTTTCCTTTTACGAATTATGTCTTAAGGCTTCACACAAAGGCACAAGCCCTTAATGACATAGGTTCTGACTTAGATAATTTATTACAGAAGTACCACTTCATCAAACTAGGGTTCACTAACCCATACAAGACCTCTGTATGAACAATACCTTACTGTTCATCGAACACCCAGAATACCCGGATATTCCTCGGGGGCATATCCGGATATCCATATGCGGATATCAGAGACCCCATATCCGGATATTTCACGACAGAATGCAGTTCTGCATTTCGCGAAGATATCCTTCAAAGGTACCACTTTTACCTATTTACAGAAGCCTAAACATGCATTTCTAGGTGTGTTTAACGTTACCCACCCTTAAGTTATCAACTAAGCTCATTACGTGCATCAAGGTTCCATTTTTAAGCATTAAACTCATGGTCAAAGGTTGGTATAACATACCTAAGCTCCAAAACTCAGAAGCAAAGGCTCATGGAGCTTTCCAAACAGCTCTAAATATGCAAACCAAGAAGGTGCACGAAAATGCCACACCAAAGGTTGGTTCTTTCTTCATAAAGGTGACACTTTGAAGCTCAAAAGGCCACCACAATGGCTCCAACACCAAACCAGCACTCTCCCTTCCCCAAAACAGAAGCACCAACTCAGAATATGGCTGACTCAACCCTCCCACACCACTCTACCAAGTGTTTACAAAGAAAGAAGGAGAAGAATCAAAGGAAAAGAGAAGACTTTGGAGATTTTCCTTGAAGAAATGGTGAAGAGAAGGCAAGGCACAAAGAGACTGACCAGCACACACTAAAACCCATGCATAAAAGGCTAATGATCAACCTAGGGTTGTGTGCAAGTGGCTATTTATAGCCGGTTAACAATTAATCACACAATATTAACTTTAATTGCTACGCTTTGCATTTTAATCCCAAACTCATGATTCTTAACCTACTCAATTTTAGAAGAATTAACATATTTTTCTCATATTTTTCGCAGCACCTTTTCGGTACGCGTTTTTCATAGCCAGTATCAGTTTCTGGCACCAGTTCTCATTATTTTAACTTGAAACTCGTTTTACAAGTCCTATATATTATTCTAGGAATTATCATGCACTTATTATAATTTTCCGAGATACTTTTTCGGTACGCATTTATACCGACTAGCAGAACCGGTATCTGCACTTTTCGTCAGAAAAGCGACTTTCGACATTATTACTCACTTACTATAATTATTAGAGCCTCATAATAATTATTAGAGTCAATTATGGAATTATCTCATTAAACTCATAAATAACTGATTAATTTTCTTAATTAATGGTGCGAGTTCTTACAAACCTCTTCTCTATCTGGGTAGAATAAAATTTTCAAAAAATACCCGGTAGGCTTGATGGTCAACGGTCAATCAAGGATAGATTGGTGTATATTTTTAAACAAGGTTAAATTTTTAAAATGTCAATTTGATAATTAATTATTAAATAAGGACTACGGTGGTCAAAAGGATAAGTTCATAATATTTTGACATGTTAAATATCGAATTCAATTTATTGGATTACAAATCTTCAATTTATTGTTCATATATGACTATTGTACCAATTTTGAATTAATTTAAAACAATAAATCAGTTCAGTTCTCCAAACTATTGTTTTTTCCTTATTCAATTCGGTTGGTTGAAGAAAACCCAATTCATGTGAACTGCACCCTCGTATTTACAATCAAAGACAGTCTGGAATCTCGATCTTCAGTGTTTTGTTTTTCTTTTTTCTTTTTTCATTAGGCGGTCGGTATTTTTCTTTCAGATTTTTCCTGTCTTTCTTCTCACCTTAAACTCTTCCATGATCGTTTCCACTATGCTTTTTTCAGTAGTTCAATCAAAAGATATATTAGTAAATTTTTTAATCATATTCAATTGATTTAGTTTGTTAATTTTATTAAAAGTCACTCTCCATTAAATTTTGACTAAAAGATTGAATGTGAGGGCAACTGATTAAATATAGGAAATTTTATTTTTATATAGCTGGAAATAAGTTATTTTATGTTGTTAAAATAAAAGTATGAGTAAATACATTTTTTGGTCCTTAACAAATTTCACGATGCTCGCTTTAGTTCCTAGCAAATAAAAAGGCTCATTGTGATCCCTAAGAAATTCAAAATGGATCTATTTAGTTGAAATCGTGGTTCCTCACAAATTTAAAAAAGACCCATATTAGTTCCTAAAATGATTAAAGTAGGTCTATTTTGAATTTTTTAAGAACCACGATGAGCCTTTTTTATATGTCTATAAAAATTTGATTTATCTTATATTAAATAAAAGAAGTATAATCCTTAAATTTATTACTAAATTACTATAAATCATGTTTAAAGTATCTAATATTTAATAAAAAAATATAATGTATAATCTCTTTATAGTTTTTTTATTGAAGATCCGAAAAGCAGAACGGTGGATTGTATACCATCAATGGGAGTTACTTTTTAAGGGGGTTGAAATTCTACTTGCAGAAAATGCAACTCCTTCCACCAGACATGCTACAGTGTAACATATTATGTTTTTTATTTTATTTTTTTAATTAAAATGGGCCCACATCAAAAGTTTAACTATTGTAGGAGATTTGATCTTTCCTATCACAGGAGAACTATAATACCCTACTTTTTATGGGCACCATGCCACATTCATCCATCCATATAGACCTTGACAAGTCATCGTTAATTTAGTCAGGAGGTTGAGTGACTGATGCACTTCCCTTCAGGACGTGAAAGGTTGCACTTATTAATTATAGTTTTTTTTAATCTTTGCAAATAATGTATGAATATGAAGGCCTTATATACAGCAGCGTTTTTATAATGATTAAAAAAACAGCTGGAGCTTATAGCCAACAAATATTCAATCCAGAAAAATGAACACATACCAAACACAAATTTCAAAAGTGAAACGTGCTGGACAAAGTTGCTCCTTTAATCAATAAGCGAAAACAACATTATTTTTTTCCTTTTCTTTGTGTATAGTTTAGGATTATGCATTTAACCATAATTTTTAACATTATTCAGATTAAAAGGACTTACCAAACTTTTGAACTTTTCAAAAAAATATGGGGAAGGATATTGTGATAATTAAGTTATGTTACTATCAAGTGACTACCAATCAATCTCACCATTAGATCGAATATGTTGATCCAACGGTTATATTTATTTCTATCTTTGTATGGTCATGATTTTTCAAATTTAATACTTTATATATATTTTCATCTTTGTATGGTTATGATTTTTCATATTTAATGCTAAAAAACATTAAATATGGGAAATCATACCCATATACAGGTGGAAATAAATATAACCATTGGATCAACATAATCAATCTAACAATAAGATTGATTCGTAATCAGTTAGTAGTAACACAATTTACTCGTGAGAGACAATATCCTTCCCTAAAAAGTATATGCTCGTGGTTTCAAAAATATAGTATGTCAATGACAACAATTGATAAGAAAAGTGTTTATCCTTTTAGATGACACAACTTATATTCTTTTACTCTCACAAAGAGGTGGGACCCACACCTTTATTTTTTTTTTGTCAACTCTCTCTTCTCCTTTATCTATATCTTTCTCTCTCTTAAAATGAGACAACTTTACCCATAGTTTTAATATACATGGTTCTGCACGCACTGTTAAGTGATTATTGAATATTCAAAAGTTCAACTAATCAGTTCAAACTTCAAACCAAACCATTTATGTCTCCTATTAACACATCCTCTACCCGCCGTCGCCGTCACCGGTGAAACTTAATTTTCCGGGATGGGTAAGTTAGAGTTCCTGTTTCTTCTCCAACTCTTTCTCTTTGTCACTCCCATGTTTTCCTTGGAATTTCTGTTTAATTCCTTCACCGGAATCACGAACCTGACTCTCATCAACGATGCCCGCGTCGACGCTTCCGTCATACGCATGACCAACGACTCCAACCAATACTCTTATGGGCGAGGTTTCTACCCAACACAAATCTCCATGAAACCCACCTCGAATTCCTCAACCATTTCTTCATTCTCCACTTCCTTTGTCTTCTCCATCTTGCCACAGATCGCTACCAGCCCAGGGTTCGGCCTCGCCTTCGTGCTCTGCAACACAACCTCCCCTCCCGGCGCACTCGCCAGCCAGTACTTCGGCTTGTTCACCAACGCAACCTCTCCCTCCCAATTCCCTCTTCTCGCCGTCGAATTCGACACCGGCCAGAACCCAGAGTTCAACGACATCAACGACAACCACATCGGAATCGACTTCAACAACGTCGAATCGAAAAACGCAACTCCTGCTGGGTACTTCAATTCCAGTGGCGGCTTCGTATCTGTCCGCATGCGCAGTGGTGAAAACATTCGAGCTTGGATCGAATTCGATGGCATGAATTCGGAGATAAACGTTACAGTTGCGCCGATCGGTGTGTCACGCCCGTTAAGGCCTACACTTTCGTATAGAGATCCAGCCATGGCTAACTATGTCTCCTCTGATATGTACGTTGGGTTTTCAGCTTCGAAAACCAATTGGATCGAGGCACAGAGAGTTCTCGCATGGAGCTTCAGCGATTCAGGTGTTGCGAGAGAAATAAACACAACGAACTTCCCAGTGTTCAAGCCAGAATCATCATCTTCTTCGCTTTCTAGTGCTGCAGTTGCAGGAATCGCCATTGGTTGTGTTGTGTTTGTGTTAATGTGTGCTTCAGGGTTTTACCTCTGGTGGCGAAACAACAAAATGAAAGAGGAAGAAGAGGATGAGATCGAAGAGTGGGAACTTGAGTATTGGCCACATAGATTCTCCTACGAGGAATTGAACATGGCCACTGGGAATTTCGGAAAAGAAAAGCTCCTAGGTTCAGGAGGGTTCGGAAGAGTGTATAAAGGGACACTCTCAAACAAGACGCAAATTGCGGTGAAATGCGTCAACCACGATTCTAAACAAGGGTTAAGAGAATTCATGGCAGAGATTTCTAGCATGGGGAGGCTTCAGCACAAGAACTTGGTCCAATTGCGAGGTTGGTGCAGAAAAGGGAACGAGTTAATGCTTGTTTACGATTTTATGCCCAATGGAAGCCTCAACAAGTGGGTTTTCGACCAACCAGAGAAGCTTATGGGATGGGAACAACGCCGTAGAATCCTTGTCGACGTGGCAGAGGGACTTAACTATCTTCACCATGGTTGGGACCAGGTTGTGATTCACAGAGACATCAAGTCCAGTAACATCTTATTGGACTCCGACATGCGAGGAAGACTAGGAGACTTCGGTTTGGCCAAGCTTTACCAACACGGCGAAGTTCCCAACACGACACGTGTCGTGGGAACGTTGGGGTATTTGGCGCCGGAGCTGGCGACGGTTGCTTCGCCAACTTCGGCCAGTGATGTGTATAGTTTTGGGGTGGTGCTGTTGGAGGTTGCTTGCGGTCGACGGCCGATAGAGACGTCGCTGCCGGAGGAGGAGATGGTGCTCGTGGATTGGGTAAGGGACTTTTACGCGAAAGGGTGTGCTGTTGAGGCTGCCGATTCTAGGATTAAGGGTGAGTACGATGTGGGAGACATGGAAATGGTGTTGAAGCTTGGGTTGGCTTGTTGCCACCCTGATCCACTGAGGAGACCAACCATTAAGGAAGTTGTTGCCCTCCTCTTAGGGGAGGAGGTTGCGGAGCATCCGGGGAAAGTGTTGTCTGATTTGGCTCGCGGCGAAGATGAAGGTGGAGCCGGCGAATTTGATGAGGCGGCGCCTTTGCAAACCACCACTAGGGTTTGACTGCACTTAATTAGACTCTTCTTCTTTTTACCCTTTTTTTTTTTTTTTTTTTGGGGTGCTTTCTGGGACTTGGTTTTGCTAGCTTGTGGTTTGGTTACGGATAATTTTCTCCTGTATTTATTGGATTAATTCGTTGAAGCTCAAAGCCAACGTAGTTACTCTGAAGTGTGCATTGTACCCGATTGAAGCAAAATAGTTTATAGTTTTAATCAATGAGTATCTATCCAACTCGTTAAATTCCAGCCTATAAGATTAGGGAATTTGCCACTTGAATCTGAAAGCATGTTATTTGCTTGCTTTCCACTAGGGTGCATTACCCTTCTTTATATGACTGAATTTGATTATAATCTTTATATATGATATTTTGATTACATTCAGATGTGAAGTTGTAGTGGTAAGAGATAACATCACAACTACATTTTTGGAAAAGCAGGAAAGGTTGTTTTAATTATTACATTGAAACATCTAATGATATATACTCGTAGGTGTACTCAGAAAGCTTACTGAAATCAATGGCTTGATAGACCACACAAACCATGTGAATCTGAAGTAACTTAGGAATGGAAAGGCATAAGTGTACTAAAAACTCCAATATGACTAACTCTGCTAAAGCGTGAAGTTTAGAGAGTGGAAAGTGAAGCAGGGTTGTTTTCTCTTAGCACCTAAGTTGAATTCCTGCTGGCATGCGGACGCCACCGATTCCTTCATGCTTTCAGGTCCACAAACCAAAACCCCAATATGAGATCCACAGGTTTCGTTCCGGAACTTGCCAAATATATCTGTTCAATTCGAAGCTTACTAAGCTGTCTGTCAATATATATTAGAAACACAAGGAAAGAGACAATGAGATCACTACCTTTAAAGTTAGGCCTTCCCCCATAATGGACTTCATGTTCTTCAAGGGCATTCCTAGTTTCGGCTGAACTTAGATCAAGGGGTTTAATTTCTTTCTGGGATATAGGTGGAATCCCTTTCTTCAGCCTTCTCCATCTCAAAATTATTGCCATCAAGGTGCTGCAAGTTAAAGCTAGGACAAAAGCAGCTATCAAAAGTAGATCCACAACCCAAGTAGGAGTGGAGTCTTTGGACAATTTGGAGCGCTTTCCTGATGGGATTATAATATGGTTGAAAAAGATAAGAAAAATAAGGAAAATGATGGAGCAAAATCCCGCAATGGCAGCCATCCAAGTTGGACTTTCAGGCCCGTATGCCACATAATTTGAACACTCCATGTTCAAATGCACCGTTCTTACACTGAAGAACTCGTTTAGTAGCTCCCTAATTCCCACCCCTGACTGTGTTTCTTGGGTTACAAACAATTGTAGATTCAAATGAAATTTTCTAGTTGAATGGTTGAGTAATAGGTGTGAGATTGAATGTAACAGACAAAAGTCTTGTGCCTTCTTAATGACATATACAAGTTGTATTCTCGAGGGAAATCTACTTTTGCTTGTAGCTGAATCAACTTCTGCCAAAATGCTCAGAAATGGGGTTATTCCGCTTCCTCCAGCAACAAGAAGTAGACTGTCATATCTGCAGACAATTTTTTTCGTTATTCCGGATAATCTTACACTTTTTTCTGTTTTTCACGTTAGAAGAAGATGATTAGGCCATGAATAACAAATGACAAGTGGCGACCGAGGAATTATGGTAAACAGCTCAATTAGAAGTACTAGGTATGATGTTTTTGCTCACTTTAAAAAGTCTATTGAAGCAGGTCCATAAGGTCCTTCGATTGCAACAGGTATACCCTTCCTCTTATCAGCACCTTTGTCTAGTTCAGCATGTATCAGGTCATAAAGAGAATTTGTCCACCCCCCTTCACATTTAATTATCACAGACATAATATGGTCATCAGCCCTGGAACTGGATATTATGCTGAAAGAATGCCATTGAAGATGTGATATGGCTGGTATCTTCAAAAATATAACACTTGTGGGGATATATTTCAACCCTGCAAATCGTTAAAAACAAACCGTTTAAAGTGCAATTTTTACCTGGTGTTTTCAATTCTAAGGGTCAATTTCAGATTGCTGTAAAGAAACTAAATACTTGGATCCTTGGGCAGAACTAGCTCCACAGCTTTGGAGGGGAAAATTCTAGCCGAAACCATGCAAGTTTTTGGGGTTGATTGTATGATACGGAGCAGTTTGTCAAGGCTAAAGAGGAATACTCCTGGGAAGACTGTATAGAAGTGCCTATCCCCAGCATGAAACAAGAAAAATACTAGAAAGACTGTATACAAATGATGTGTGTAGTAGAAGATTTCAAACTTTCTCCTCCTAATTTGGGGAAGTGAAGTCACCCAGATAACTAGCCCGATAACAAGTGCAATCTCCCCAGCAAGGTATATGCGTCCTGTCTTTTGCCACATCCAAATCTGCTTGAAAAATATTAAGAAAGAAGGAGAGAACTAATCACTTGCTACTATAACAAAGTATTGAATGTATACTCAATGAATATTGAAAAATTGGGCTAATAAAGAAAATGCTTCCAGATTAAAATAATTAGACTTTACCTCATGCTGTATATGGTGGCTGACCCCCCAGACAAACAAAGTGCTAGCGCCATGTATTGTAGCAAAAAATATCATTGCAGTTCCAACCCAGGTGTGATATCTAACTGAAGCTTCAAATTGAATGCCAAGTATGCGAAATACAGCCAACCCCCTTAAAATAGGAAGAAGAAGCAAAGCGAGGCAGGCTTCTGCTAGCAAGCCAAACCGAGTTGCTGTTCTGAGATACTTGAGTTGCCATCTGAAATAAAGTTATGCATTTGGTGAAATAATAACAGCTTTTCTACCATCCAACACAAAGAGTATCAAGAACACTTACATGTTCAACTTCAGTGATTTGTCTGGCATCAACTTTTTGAAGTCATTAGAAATACGAGAGTAGTAAGTCCATGCTAAGAAGACCAGAAAAAGGAAAGCTACCAGTATTTCAATACTGGATAAGATTCCCAGTAGACTGTTCACCACCAGTGGATTTGATAGGATAATTGATGAGCTCCCTACACTTCTGTGTAGTTTATAACATCAAGAAAATAATTTTTGAAGTGCAAAACTTCCATTAAAGAAGTTGAACAGCATTTAATATTACCTGCTTCTTTGATATCCAGCTTTCAAATCCAAGAAAAGAAGTCCAATTATAGCAATAGCAATTATGGGAAATGTATACACAGCAAAGTTAAGACCTGCAAAAGACCCTCTACAGTATCACCCATAGTTTTACTTCTAATTAGCATTTGGCTGAAATTCTTGTAATTTCATGAGTTGTTTTATTGAAACAGATTCATGCAAGAGAAACAAAAGGGGATTATTGATGTTAAGAGCCATTTAAGTTGAGATTCCAGGGGTGTACCATAGTATCCAAAAATTGTATCACTGGCGCTTTCTTCTGCATGTTTCCATTTTCTGGTCCAAATTTGTGTTGGCTTCAGAAGCCAAACAGAAATCCAACCTGCGCATATGAAAATAACCAGCAGTTTTAGAATAGCAAGTAAAGTCGAGCCTGCCATGCCTGACAAGTCAGGGATTTTTTTTGACTTCAACTAGTATAATAAATATCCATATATAAAGGAAACCGAATAGAAAGATTGGTTCAGTTTTATTATGGGTTGATTGACTTTTTTACCCCTAATTAAAATAAATATTCACTCTGCTCCTATTTTTAAATTATTTAAAAATCTTAACCATGGTTGTTAGATCGCAATACGTATCGTGAATCGTTCGGCTGCTTTTTTTATCGTGAATCGTGAATCGTATCGAATCGTAAGATTCAAAAACAAATTAAAAACAACTTAAAAATATATAATATCATATAAATTCAAATTAAAAAAAAATCTAAATACCAAAATCCATAAGTAACCAAATCTAAAACCAGTTATTTCTCATATTCATTCAATTTCAAGACTAATATTATCACTAGGAGTGTTCGCGGTCTGGATTGGATCGGTTTTGGAAGCAAAACTCATTTGATCCAATCCTTTCGGTTTGATCATGTAATCATCCATTCAGTTTAGTTTTTTTTTCAAATCCGATCCGATCCAATCCAATTTTTTTCGGTTTGGATTGAATCGGTTTTCGATTTTTTGAATATCCTAAAATTAGTTTCATGATTATTGTGCAAATAATATCTTTTGTATATATTAGCTTTGTAATTTTTTTTTTTTTTGAAACAATACTATAGTTGATGAGACGTGACTAATTTTTTTCTTGGATTTAGTTGATGAGTTAATGGGTCTTGAGTTTAGAATTTTTTGGGCTATGATTGGAAAAATGACAAGTAGGTAGAGGATAATTAATATATTGGATCGGTTTTCATCAACCCATCCGAAAATCGATCCAATCCAATTAAAATTTGCGGGTTTTTTTCGGTTTCCAATTTTTCGGTTTTCGGTTTATTCGGTTATCGATTTTTCAGTTCGGTTTTCGCGGTTTAAATCAGTTTGGATCGGTTGATGAACTCCCCTAATTATTATCACTACTATCACTATCAAGATCTAGTATTGGCATATCTAGTCCTTCATCCTCTCCATTAGTAGAGTCATCTGACTCATCTCCCATATCTTGTTCAATAATTTGATATCCTTTTCTGTTATCATTCCTGTTGACATCCTCTTGTATTAAGATGCCTTTGCTTTTATCATTCCTATCATCTTGAAGATTTCGAGGACCTAAAAAAAAAATATACATAATGTAAATAAATATATTAGATAAGGTGTTTGATTAAAAGAAATATAACATATGCAAATATACCTCTCTTTCTCTTTTTGCTTTGGTCTCCTTCATCAACGTTGAAGCACTCATGAACATCCATCCAAGATTCCTCATCCATTAGGCAAGGCTCCTCTTGCTCAGTAATCCATTCCTCGTCAGAATCTAAATCTGATAAGCAGATAGGATCATATGTGTCTCCTTTTTCCTCCCTTTATTTTTGCCTAATTTCAAGTTGAAGGTTGTATTTAACAAACACAAGAGCATTCAACCTTTGTTGCTCTAAACGGTTTCTTCTCTTAGAGTGAATTTGATCAAACACACTCCAATTTCTCTCGCACCCTGTAGCACTGCAAGTGAGGCTTAGGATACGAATAGCTATTGTTTGCAGCTCTTTGCAGTCGTCTCCAAAACTATTCCACCATAAAGCTAGCAAAAAAAAAATATAATTGATAAATAAATATTTGGTTAATGACTTAATTTTTAATTTTAAAATATCAAAACATAATTTAATCAATACACAAAATTCGATGATTACCAGGTTGCTTCCTAGCTCTAGTTGCAATTGCTAAACTATTTCCAAAGAGTCCTTCAGCCCTGTCAAATTTCTCAATTTGGGAATCAATTGTGATCCTTGTTTCAATATCAGGACACATCTTCTCCAATGTCTTCCACAAGCCAGTTTTAACCTCACGATCTGGGTTGAACTTTGTGTCATAGTGGAACCTATATAATTATTACAAATTTAGAATAAGGCTTAATAATAAATCAAATATAAAATATAAAGAATTTTATATAAATAAATTTTATAAAAAAAAATACTTACTTTGGATTAAGAAAATAGGCGGCTACATGAAGAGGCCTATGAAGTTGTAAATCCCAACGCTTGTCAATGATTTCCCATACATCCTTATATCTCTTTTCCTCATGATTAAAACTCTTTGCTATTTCTTCCTTTGCTCTATCCATAGCCTCATAAATGTATCTCATTGCAGGTTTTGAATCACCATCCACAAGTCTAAGAACTTTCACAAGAGGAGACACAATTTTCAAGCAATAATGTATTGATTTCCAAAACCTTTTATCAGCCAAAACAACATTTTCTGCAAATTTGGCTTCCGGCCTAGAGCAATAAGCACTATTAACCCATTTTTCAGATGTAAACATAGATCGAAGTGCAGTCTTTTGTTTCAAAATTGACTGCATTGTCAAATATGATGTAGCAAACCTTGTTATTGCAGGCCTAGCTAACTCTCTACCTTTGGAAAAGGTTCTATACAAATTCAACACCCATGTGTGCCTATAAATGAAAGTTGTAATTTTTTTTGCTTTCCAAATGGTATTATAGAACACTATAATGCCACCAATATCTTCCAAAATCAAATCAAGACAGTGGGCTGCACAGGGTGACCAAAAGAGTTGCTTTCTTTTATCCATCAACTTTTGTCCAGCAGATACAAGGGCTGAAGCATTATCTGTCACTACTTGAACGACATTCTCTTCTCTAATTTCCATCACCATCTCATCAAGTAATTCAAACATTTTTCAGCATCTTTAATAAAGCTGCTTGTATCAACAGATTTTATAAAAACAATCCCTCTAGGACTATTAACAAGAAAATTAGTAAGAGATCTACCATTTCCATCAGTCCATCCATCTGACATCAATGTACAACCAGTTTTCTTCCATTCCAACTTATATTTATCCAAACTAGTATGGACAAGATCAACTTCTTTCTTTAAATATGACACCCTCACTTCATGATAAGTTGGTGGTTTTAAGCCTCTACCATATTCACTAATAGACTTCACCATATTAATAAATAATGAACTCTTAACTAAATTAAATGGCAATGCATTGCCATATATGCATCTACAAATATCTCGAACCACCAAATCTCCATCCTTCACCATTGAATTTATAGTTTGTTGTTTCATAGCAGATGAGCCACTTCCACTTTTTCCTTTTATCATAAAACTATCCATGCTCCCTTTTTTTGTGAATCTTTATCATCGAAGCACTCTAGTTCATCATCTTCTCTTGCATCCTCTAATATTTTTTTAAATAGATCCCTTATCTCTTCCGGCACTTGTTGGCATGGAAGAACTTCTTTGTGTGTTCCAGCTAGATGGTGCTTCATTCTAAATGCTCCTCCCCACATTGTTTTGGGACAATAGTTACATTTAACATTCAACTTATTCCCAAGGGATTTATAATGATCCCAAGTTATATCCTTCTGTTTTTGGGATTTCTTCTTTGGAGCCATTTTTATTATTTCTGTTACTGTAAAAGAGAGAAAAAAAATAATGTATTTAAATTGAGAACGACTTCAGCACTGCAGCTTTTTCATAATATTATAATAATATAATGTATTCCTCTGATCCTTTCATACATTTTCAATTCAGCTGAATCATCACTATAATATTTTAATATATTTACAATTTACAAATTTCAATCACAAATCAAATCACCCATTTCAAAAATAGTACCCGTACTCCTTTGCCTTTTGTGAGTCTTCTTCTACACGCTCTCTGAATCTACTCTGCCTTTTGTGAGTCTTCTTCTACACGCTCTCTTAATCTACTCCTCTGCAAGTCTTCTTCTACACAGAGTCTGCAAGTCTTCTTGAGCGCTACTCTTTGGAAATTTCTGCAAGGCGTTTTCTCCTCTGCAAGTCTCTCCTTCTGTTTGGTTGCTTCTTATAAGTTACTGCAAGTCGTCTCTGTTCGCAACTCTCTGCAAGTAGGCTTCTGTTTTGTTGCTTTCGCACCTCTCTGCAAGTCGTCTCTCCTTCTGTATCGTTTTTTATTTTTTTGTCTTTGCTGTTCTCTTTCTGTTTCGCAGTTTGCACCTTCGCACCTTTCTGTTCTTGACTTCTTGTTTCCTTTTGTTTTTTAAATGGGATTTTGAATCCCTGATTTTTCTCAAGAAAACAACCTTTCAGATAAAAACATGTTGTTCCAAATCCTGCGATTGTTGAGTGTTTTTTTTAATTTTGTTTATATTTTGAATCGCAAAAAAATTTTGATTCATGATTCACAACTGAATCATTCGATTCCACGTTTCCAAATCACGATTCATGCCAAAAACGATTTGCTATTGCGATCCGTATCGATTTGCCACTGTATCATATCGTATCGCACGATACGTATCGCGTATCGTGCGATACTAACAACCATGATCTTAACATTTTTTTAAAATTATACATCAATATATTACTGTTTAACTCTTTTGAACAAGTTACTCGAGTACACGAGCCTTGTGCTGGAGTAATTGTTGAGTGACTCATTTACTCGAGTAAATAACTTAGTTACTCAAGTAAATGATGCCCAAAAGTCTTATATCAGTGAGTTTCTGTCTCATTTTAGTTATATCGGTTTTTTATCCCAAAATCTCACTTGTTTCATCTTTATTCCAACCCATCAAATTTACTTTCATCCCACCATCCCTAAATCTTTAACCTTATCAGATCATTGTCATTATACTTAGATATTTCAATTTTTGTTCAAAAATATGATCCCAAATTCAAATCCTAATCCCAATTTGTGGCAAAGATGAACTCAAGTTCCAACACATATATTGCAATTGTCTATCAATGGTAGGAAACTTGAAGGTCCCAATGACGCACACTTTGAAGGTCAAACCAAAACATTGCAAATCAAACGCGACACTATATACAACAATCTCAAAAGGAGAATTCATCAAAAATTGGTGCTTCAAGGCAACCAATGCATTTCTTACTTGATTGTCAGGTACTAGACTAAAAAAGGGTACTATATTGATAACAATATCAATGATGATGAAGATGTGGATTGTGTTATAGTTTCATATATTAAAAGGAAAGAGAACTATTTATTGAGATATATGCTAAATTGATTATGGTCACCTATCTTCTTTACCTATGCATGTGAGCACTGAACGATATTTTGGTCAAGAAGACAAATTTGTCGGCTCATCTGCACCTCCACAAATGTTAAGTCAGATAACATTAGGGGAATAAAAAGATGATGATGAGAAGGATATGGACAATGATGAGGAGGGAGAACTGAAAGTGTTATTCCACTTGGTGATTCATAGAATACTGACGTGGAGGGTAATTTTGATGTTGACACGAACTCAGTAAACATGAGATCCCTTTTTTTGTCAGCACTTCATGTTGACACAGTTAATAGTGGTTAGTTAGTAAATTTCTTTTTTTATTTAACATGTCATATTTATCTTGTTAATGCATCTGATAAAAATATCATGGTTTAGGTGTAGTGTTAGAGATTGGGCCATTCTGGAATGATAGGCAACATTATACATACATTAATTGAGCGCACCTCACTGAAGAGATGATGTATGATGATGATGAGTTGAACAGTGCCTGGCAATTAGGGGACCTATTATTTATGCAACATGAGTTCGAGTCCAAGTCTGAAATGCAACATGCTATAAAATTGTTTTGTGTGAAGATCCATCGTACAACCACAGTTGCAAAAAGTGATGAACATAGTTTATGATGAAATGCTGAAACCATGCTGATGGTTGTCCCTGGTATGTGAGGGCAATCATGCCGAAGAATGGAAACAAATAGGTGATCCGTAAGTGGGGTGATGATCACACCTACTTAAACCAGACTCTTTCCCATGATCATAGACAGATGGACTTAGAGTTTATATGCTCGCCCATTTTAGGTATATCTTGTATGGTTTACAATTACATTGGCATGTTTATTTTCTTTATTTAGTGAGGAATGTTAATGTAAGTATTAATTCTTCTTCGCAATTGATAGATATGTTAAAGGAAGATCTTTCTGTTCGATCAATTCTCATGTAAGAGATGATACTACATATGTATGTCTGCAGAATATCCTATAGGAAGGCTTGCAAGGCCAAAATGAAGGGTATTATGAAGATATTTAGTGATTGAGATTTGGGACAAATCATATGCCTTCTTACCCATGTGGTTGACATATATGCTGCAATTTTCTGTGGGTTTTGCCTTCAAGCTTGATACTAATGATTATTTTGTCCACCATTGGCTTGTCAATGATAAGGTCTTGTTTGAAAGGATTTTTTGGACATTTCACCAATGCATTGAGGCTTTCAAAATTTGCAAGCCGATAATTCAAATTGATGACACTTATTTGTATGGGAAATACAGAGGGACACTTTTGATTGTGACAACACATGGTGGAGATAACCATGTGCTACTTTGTACCTCCGGGTGAGAAGTTGGATGATTCGTCATGGTTTCTGGCCAATCTACGCAGTCATGTGACACATAGGGATGATGTATGTCTAATATCTGATCAACATTGATGTTAGTATCCATATAGCCATGTCATAGTGTTGGACGTTTAGCAAGTGCACTAGTCGTACAAGTAATAAAATGATAAGTAAAGATCGTTCCCACGAGGATTTGTGTCAAGCACTGACTAACCATATGTACTTGAGTTGAATCAAACAAAAGTTTATAGATTGCATAGATTTCTTGTCACCAGAAACTACACTGAAATGAATTAAAACTTGATAAATAAATAAAATATAAATTATAATGTAAACAAGTAGTCAGATGTCATTTTCCCTCAAACATAAATTTATAGATGAACCAATTTCTATTATGAATTATCTACTATGTGATGTTGATCAACCTTTTTCTTATCATCTCAAGATGTAATCCATTACTACCCTGATAAACACATTAATCAGAAACCCCAATCCCTTGATGATTCCTTTCTTAATACATGCATTAATTACTAAGGTCTTAAGATCACATTAGAATCCTAGCATTAATCCCTTGACTACTAGAACACTGATGATGAAGTTGTCAAAAATAGAGAAACAATGTAAACATGTCTGTTCTACATTATTCCTCAACATGAAGAATTAATCAAGACAACTTCATACAATCACATAATAGATAAACAAAACATCTAATTAACCATTCATAAATTCAAACTTGAGTTCCATTGAATCAGACTACAAAGGACTCTCCTAAGACATAATTGAAATACAAACAAGAGAAGAAAGATCAAACTCCATTGACATGATAGTTGAGTCTTCAATCTCCAAGTGCAATTACATAGGAAATACTAACTATTACAAGAACTAATCCTAAGAATTTGGAAATTCAAAGAAAATGAGGAGTCAGATCAGATCTATGAAAGACCTGATCTGATCTCCCTTCTCCTAGTGTGATGAGAAAAGTCAGAATGAGATATGATGGATTGGATTGTGTGTCAGAGTATGAAGGCCCCTTGTCCTTTTATAGTTTACAAATTACAACTGAAAACTGACTTGGGCGCTAAAACGTTCACTTATGGGCGTTTTAGCGTCCAACTTTGACGGATGCCCAACTGCTTTCAACTGTCTTGGGCGCTAAAATGTTCTATTTGGGCGTTTTAGCGCTCACGACCAGAACCTTTTTGCACATCCGAGCGCTAAAACGCTTGATTTGGCCGTTTTAGCGCTCAACACCAGCACTTTTTGGCTTCATTTTGCAGCAGGGCGCTAAAACTCTTGACTTTGGGC